TCGCAACACTTAAACGGAATGCCACGGATCAACAGCTAACTTCTTTTATACAGGCTTTACAGATCATCATTGTGTCTGTGTCTGTGTGTGTGTATGTGTGTATTTGTCTGTGTGTGTGTGTATGTGTGTGTTGTGTCTGTCTGTTGTAAATGCATTTAAATAGTTGAACAGTATATTCAGATTTGTTGGAGATGATTGAAATGAATGAGTTAGAATGAATTGAGAGCTGCGCAAGGAATATTGGATGGAGGTGGTATAACGATGATAGAATGTGGAGAAATGCGCCACGCGCTAACAGCAAAGGGAACACAGAGAGAGTGTAGCAGTAACGAAGTAACTTTTAAAAATTATGAATAAGAAAGAAGGAAGAGGAATATATAACAGATACAAGAGACTAACCAATCTTAATATTTTCTTCACTTACTATTTCCTTTCCGATCTCTCAGTGAATTCTTAAAGTAATAAGTTGATGAGAGGTCTTGTCGAAAAGTGAATAACATCTGTTGATAGATTGTAAGAAATAACAGCGCCTAAATTAATTTCACATTTGTATTTTATTCAAAAATCATTTTGTGAATTTTAATACTTGTAATTACTGAAAAATATTTTCAACTTAAATTTATCTAGCTTATACTTTATACTATTTCATATTTGTATCAAAAATATAAATTAATTGCGCAAAAGTTTAATCATTAATGTGTAATGTTTTGAATACATATAATATTACGCAACTGCTCAACAATATTTACTTTAATTTCATTACAAATATACATTTTAGTTGAATAAATATTCAAAGTTCAGACTTTCAGCCAATAATAAAAAAGAAAAAAAGTACTTTAATAAATTTAAAATATGTCCCAGTAATTACACATTTGAAATAATATATATCCATGAAAATAACACTAACTGTTTGCACTTTGCTTCAATTTAATTATCAAATACATTCAGCAAATTATTTGTGAGTGATATTTGCATTTCATTAATTTTACCTTTTCATCATTACCTGACTGTGTTATGCAAAATAATCAAATTCATGAAAATCGTCATAAATTCTACAAATAAGTACAGAGATTTTTTTCTCTTCTTACAACTTTACTTTGTACACGTAAACCACGTTACTTTCATTTCTTAGATTTAGTAAAATTGATAGAAACGCATCATAAATCATTGATAATTATTGCCATTATTATAATCATTGTTATAAAAAAGTGAAAGAAAATATTACCTAGTTTTACCGTTTTTTTTTTTTTTTTTTTTGGAAGATTTAATATGCTGGAAACTTTTTCCTTCTTAAACGATATTAAATGGAAAGATGGCACAACAAATTTGGTTTAATTTTATAATACTAAATTGCTCTTCCACACTTAAATTTCTACAACATTACAGTACCAAACCGTGAGCATAAGCATTCTTAACTGTCTTAGATTTTAATCGATTGACTGGATTGATTAGTGAGCAGATGTGTGATCATTTAAAAACTCTATTATTATTATCATTATTATTATTATTATTATTATTATTGTTTATCACTATATTATATTTATTATTATTATTATTATTATTATTTGTCATTACTATATTTATTATTATTATTGCTATTATTATTACTAATTGTTACTACTATTATTATTATTAATCACTATTATTATAAATAGCCTTTAAAATCTTTGTATTTTTGATAGTGTATAAATTAGCGATTGCATTTGCTGAAGTAAAATTTTGATGAGTTTTCCGGATGGATCTCTTTGTTGTAGAGGTGAATGGTTAGAGAAAGTGAAGTTAGCTTAGTTTACTATTTATTGAAATGAAAATGTTAGATATAATATGATTTGAGATGGAAGAGTTTGAATTTCTCGAGCAAAGAGATGTTTTGTTGTAAAAATTAAGAACAACAATGAAGTTAAGCTTAACATTACTCTTCCACATAGTATCGACAGAGTGACAAGCAAACAGACAGATAAATACAATCTTTTAAAAATTTCAAAAAAAAAAAAAAGAAAATTATTTATGCTTCTGTAGCTCTCTCCGCTCTTACAACACTCTCTTGCTTCGTTTGCTCCCTTCAATTCTTGGAATTGCAACTAGCCATCGTAAGGAACACCAGCATTTGTTGTTAAGATAATCAGTCACACATTTCACTTATAGTTCGAGACATACACTCATACACACACACACACACACACATACATACATACATACATACACACACATACATACATACATACATACATACACATACATACATACATACTCATACACACAAACATATACGTAAAGAAAGAAAAGAGAATTTAAATTTAGACAAAGGTACACATTAATTCAAACATTTCTAATACTTAGTCTGCGAAACAAAAATAAAGATTTCTGCTAAGAAATTCAAAAAAAAAATTTCTTGATTTTTGATAATATTCTCATAGTAACGATTTCTACTGTTTTTAAAAAATATATAAATTTCAAAAATCGAAATGCTTTCGTGCAAATAATCCCTGATGTAGTGTTCAAATGAAAATAGTAGACTTCTCTGTCTAATTTACTCTAGAAGTTAAACTGGATGGACACTTTGAAATCAGATTGCATTATTTTATAAAATGCTTCATTGATAGCATCGTCCATTTCCCAGTGTGTTACAGACATAAACAACGCACAACACTTTCAATCATCGGAAGTCAATTTCACGTGACGTACGATAATATCCACTCATTTGATAACTTCACGCGCATGTTTTAGACGGACGCTTTTTAAAGGTAACATCCGAATAGGCCTGTTTTTACTGGACTACTTTAATTCTGGATTGCAGAAGGAAAGCAGATGTCTACAAAGCGTATGGACAAAGTGACGGTGGATTCCACGTGATTGTGTATGTCAAACTTTGCGTATACTCTCAGCGATGTCATTGGGAAGCTTTGGCCACTGATTTTTGGCTCATTTATGTGTGTAGCAGAATAACGAAGAAGGCTACGTTCACATTTCATCTTTCCGGTCATTATATAACTCAAACCTTCACCACCAAAGTTCTAACTCTGCCCACACGCTCTGTGGACACTTTTACTCCCTTCTCTTACTTCATCCATCAAATCAAAGTAGTGGAAACAGGCCACTGAATATAGGCCTACTCAACGATTATTTTCAAAAGGCTTCTTAGCATCCGTCTAAAATAACGCACTTTTGAAACTATAAAATGAGTAGATACCATGTAACACAGGTACACAGCCCTAAACTTTAAATGTCTTCAGTGATTTGAAACATTAGCTTGCATAATTTCAGTGAGCAGTGTGAAGTGTAAAGACTCCTTGGTACCTCACTCATATAAACACAACATGTGAAAACTTTTATGACATTCATGTAACTAACGACAACGACAAATATAAGCTATATAATAAGCAAATTGAAAAGATATTAATTGAATGATTCCTTAAGCAGAATCAATTGCCATAGCTACAGAAGAAAGAATCTTCACATTATTGCAAAATTTGCTGAAATATACCATAAAATCACACACAAAAAAAAGGAAAAAAACAAAAACATTTTGAGCAAATCGGTTTACAGTGAAGAAATATAGGATAGTGCGCATAATGCTTCCACCAGATATAAATTGATAACATAAATTAAACTCTTCTTTGCTGAAACCCATTGCCCTTGCTATTCGCTCAGAACTTAATATATGCATAAGGTGAACAACAAATTTCCAATCGGCTAAAAAAAGTTGAACTAAAGCACAGAAACCAGTGATCACCTAAAAAGCACTGGTTTCTATCAAAGATCTCGCTGAAATATTCTGCGCTTTCCTAAGAAATAATATTTTCAATCTTATTTTACGATTTGCTTGAAAGGAAAAGGGCAAAAGACAAGCCGAGATGTACGAACTCAGCTAATGAGCATGACAAAAACCTGCACAAAAATGCATAGCGAGACGGATATATATGGAATAAAAAAAGAACAAAGTACAACAAAGTACACCAAATAAATCACCGCCATTTGATTTTATCTAATTTACATATTCAAAACACATTCTCTCTCTTTTCAAATTCCCATCAGTTCTTAATGCAAACGAAAAAGTAGATTAGTGCACACAAAACTAAGCCCTCAGTTCAACTAACTTACACCATTGTCTGCTTGTAAAAACTTGGCGTACTTCTCGAAATAAAAACATTATACTTAATAACACTCCCTTCCTGAAAATATTTACTAAAAGCAAACCACCGTCACCTATGACATTAAAATGAAAAAGGAGGATATTGGACACGGCAACTAAAACATTAATTTGAATGAACTACAAAAAAAGTCAAATGAATGCGATAATTGAAAACAAAAGTAATGCGACATGATTCTATGCAATATGGTGCAATATATAAAATCCATTCTTTACAATAAATTCAACATTTCAGTTCACTTATTATCCACAGTGTTTGCGTCTTAATGGAACAAATTTATACTGAAACAATTCCACAAAAATCTGCGAATGTCATCAGATTCATGCAAATAAAATAAACATAGTGTTAACTGTTAAAACTGTTAATATTTTTAGAACCATGTCTTTTAATATTTCGAGACCAAATTTTGTGAACTGCTGGAGAAAAAATGAAAGAGATCTATTAGAATAAAATCCCCACATGACAGAACTCTACCTAACAAATTGCAACTCTGACAGCTAACGCAGGTTATGGTACCAGTAACTTTCCTATAACAGGTTAAGTAGGCCTTACCTCACCTTCATCTCACAATACCGCAGAAGTGATTTGGTCTATCGATAGTAGTGCATATACGTAAAGTAAAATTAAACTATATCAGATACATAAAATTTTTATATATCTAATACAAAACTCCTTTCTTAAAAGCATAGGCCACCGGAAAAACACTAAATAACTTTGTGATGTAACTACAATGGCTTACTGCTTAAGCAATAAATATTATAAACACTTGATTAGTAAACAAATTTAATTCAAACACTAAATTTGGAACCAGTTATTTATTTACAGCTGTTTATGGCACTCGAAGATATGCTACATCTGGAAATCACCGAAATTGCTGTTATTTGTCGGGTCGTTCCAAGAAGCTGGAGCATCGGGACTACCCATATGAACACTTTCCATCGGCTGATCGGTAGTATTGATACTCGGTGGTCCAGGACAACAGTAAGCATTTAACGAGGTCCCACCGTGCTCTCCTCGAGCTGAAATTAAGAAAACAATGTTGGAGCAAAGGAATGGCACAAATTATAGAAGAGATAATTGTTGTATTTTAAAAGAATGATTAATATGAAAACGTGTATATGTTAATAGTATGTATTTCAGCAAGACTGATTTCTAAAATTTTAAACAGGCTACAAAACAAACATCTGTTTTTAGAAATTATTTCATAAAACAGACCAGAGGGATATGTCGATCGCAAGTGATGTCTTTGTTGAGGTAAGTCGAACTGTTGTGTGAACATTGTTGCGAATGGGTCGTCACTTATTGAGAGTCCAGAAAGATCCTAAGGAATAAATGGGTATTCAGCTGATAAATGAAGTATATTTTAATTTAAAGACTGACTTCACTTTGCAAAGGCTTATATTTCAAAATGAAAATGTGCAGTTAAGTCAAAAACTTTCAAAACAATACAAAAAGTCAGGAAAAGTATTTTCATTGCAATTTAGTCAAAAATTTCATGAAAGAAACCTCAGGCCACACTTCTCCTGAAGAATATTCCATGTTACTGGACGTGTTACCAGTGTTCTGCGATGGACCTTCACGACCATACATAACAGGAGCTGCTTGATTATCAGAAGGTGCTTGCTGTTGAGGAGGTGACGAAGTCTAAAACAAAATCAGAAAGATCATATTTTTTGCAAATGGCAGAATCTTCTTCAACGGTTAATCACTTTCGAAACATGCCTAGAAGAATAAACAGTCAAACCTGGACTCGGTTTAAGAAATTGAAATCAAACGATAATCCTTATCGAAAAAAACAAAAAGACTAAATAAAAATAATTTTGCGAAAAAAAACCGCATCTGAATAAGCGTAAAACTGAAATCTCTCACTACTTTTATTTGAAAATTTGAATTATTGTACAAACTATACCTGAGACTGTACGTGAATGCCAGCACCTTCCAAGTTAGAATATGAAGTTAAAGATGCAGGTGTTGATAATGGAGTTTGTTGAGGTGGCAAAGAAGGATAATGAAGTGCTACTGATGCGGATGGTGATACAGTATTGTAAGAATTATTGACTCCATAGTTTTGTTGAGGATATTGAATTTGTTGAGAATACCCATTGTACGGTACATTTGGCTGCCCACCGGGCTGTGCCGAATGTAAAACCAAACGATGAGATGATGATGGCAAAGAGAAATTCTGATAAAGAACTGACGGATCCCCACCTTGCATGCTACGCTCATAAGCCTGTTTGGCATATGTTGCTGTAATAATATAAAAAAGTATAAATACTTTTGTTTCATACACACACATACATCCAGCGTCCTTAGTTCATTTTACTGAAGTAGCCACAGCATACGATTATAAACTTTCTTAATCGTCATGCTCTAACAGTTCCCAAAACTGCTTTTATTGGTACACAAACATGTTCATTATTCAGATACTCATACAATGATTTCGAAGAATTCGATATTTCATTTCTGAAGCAATATAAACTTACCAAAAGGCTGGTTACGGCTTTGTGAATAATGGTGTAAAGCTGCCATCAAACCACTATCTGCAGCATATAATGCAGCCAACTGAAAAGTATTTTGATAAATTCCCATATAGCCTTCACAAATTTTGAGCCAATTAACTTATTTCGGTAAAGAAAATAAAATGTAACACTAACTTCAGGATGGGAAGAAAGTTCATATATAAGGCCAAGTGCACTTCTATCCAAGTTTTCATCCTTCACATAATTCTGATATAAACAAAACACCGGTAGCAATGCTGCACAGTCACCATCTCGATCGCGAAACATTAGGAAATCAGACCTTCTAATACAATATGATATCTGTAAGTTTACATTTTTGTTTTGTAGATAAAAATGAATATCAAAAGATAGTGTTATTCGGATCACAGAGAGCTCTAAAGACATACCTGATTCAGAAGAACTGAATCTCGGCATAAAAGCTGAAGAGTAGATAATGATAATTGAATGAGATCTGCAACGCGTACTTCTTCCACCATCTTTGTCTGCAAACAAAACCGGATACTTTAAAAGCGGAAAGAAATACAATAATTGTACTTCTATCCTTCGCTTTTGAACAGTAAAATATTTCTAACTTCATTTTAAGGTATTTTTGGGAAAACAGAATAATTCAAGACCGAAATTTGACTTGAAACCGTGGGCATCAATCAAATATTTTACCGATGGTAACTGGTCGCATGCAACTTTTAGAATCAATGCGATACGCTCCACAAAGTTCGTCTCGCAATCAGCTGCCTGCCTCAGACGAATTTCACGAAATAGTAGAAGATTTGCATCTTGCAAAGCTGCTTTATTCAATATCTGAAATGTAAATTCACCATCTATATGTCTGCAAACTATCATTAACAAAGAGTGGGAAAAAAGTGATTACAGTAAGTTCTGACTCTACTTCTTCAAAATATACCAGTTCCGTTGAAATAAGATCATCCACGAGCTTGATTTTAGTTATACCTAAATAACATACATGAACTAGGCTAAACTTAAAGAGCAGTATCTAAGAAAGTGAATTTAAAATCCCAACCTGGAGAGTCTGCTTCAAAATAGAAGGCCTCATTTCGGTAAGTTTTCGGAGTAAAAAGTCAGCAGCATACTGTTGCTGAAGGACAGCTTTCTGTGCTTCTACTTGATGAGTATGTCCGACACACAGGTGACGCAATGTTGCTAATGCACGTTCCTAAAAGAACTAAGATAATTTTAGGGCCGATAGTATGCACTAAATTCTTAATAGCTATTGTGTTTCTACAATCAGTACTTTTCGTAATAATAACCTAATGCATTACAATAAATGTGTTAATGTAAAATTAAGGGACCTCTACATTAACATATCTAAATTTAACTTTTAATTAAAAAAAAATTTTTTTCTAATAGTTTAATTTTTCAAATAGTAAAAAAATCACAAAAATTCAAGAAAATAAAAGTCCCAACAAAAGTCCTTGGTCTAGAAAAAATCCATATAGCATAAAAATTTTTGAGAAATTACCTGGATATCTTCCACTCTTTGCTGTTGATTTGGAGTGCTTGCTGGTATGCTGTACGAACTAATCAAAACACGATACAAAGTTGGTATTGCTCCTCGACTAAATAAAAATTCTTTGTTCATTTGATTATTGGCCAACAGATTCGATAAAATTCCAGTACAATACAAAATAACAATTGGATCCATTGCACCTAAAGATGATTTTGTAAGTGAATTGAATAAATCAAACAAAGAAGTGTAATTTCGCTTGAAAACAAGACATATCTTTAAGTCTAATATCACTTCCCAAGACTATCAATGGTGACTGAAAAAAATCGAAAGCAAAAACGATATGGTGAAAAGTTAACACAAGACCTGCTGCAACAAATTCAATCAATGAAGCATTTCTTGAAAAAGCTTTTAAAATATAAATTACTTTTAGCACAGACTATTATTAATGCATTACATGTTAATCATCAATTGGAAAAAAAATGAAACTAAAAATGTACCTAAAAGCTGCAGAAGTTTATTAAGAAGAGGTGAAACATCCATATCTTTGGTGGGCACATCGGACATATTCCTAATACATTCCAAAGTTGAAATAATCAACCGCTGACTGGCATGTTCAAGTTGTTTATGCAGAACATCATAGCCACCACACTTCACTATTGCCTGAGGATCCTAAAATTGAAAAAATTGAGGGAAAATTTTTGGAAATTTTATTATCAATCGAAAAAAGGAAATACCGAATCTTAAAATATCTATGAGCTTTTAAAATTAAGACTTGTAATTTGTGTTGAAAAATCATGAAGACTTACTGCATTAGAAAAAATTTTCAAAAGTTGTGTAGTTCTCCACAGTAAACCTTCATAGCGTAACACACGCAATATATGAAGCAGTTTGGATGGCCCGTTTAACTGTAGAAATAATGCCTGAAATCTTGAAAATGAGAAAGAAAATCATAAAAACTCCACAAAGTGCAATTTGTGATTTTTCCAACCCAATTAACTGCAAAATTTGTATTCGAATTTCTTGATTATATCCCTGGTTAAACATAGCAATAATGATCATTTATATTTTCATTAAAGAAAAAATTTCTATAACTTAAAACTTCTATGATTTCACTTATTTCGAATTGGATAGTATTACTTTAAAGTGCCAAATTTTTTGAGACAACTTTTTCAGAGAAATCTTAGGAATTAGATAACCTAAATTTGAGAAACAAAATTTATATTAAAAGAGAAAAAAGCAATGATTTTTGACAGAAAAATCTGACAATATAGCTGTCAATTATATCAAATACAACTAACCCTTTGCGTTTGACTTTTATCACAAAGCAATCGCACACATTCAACAATTACTGAAAGAAGCTTTTCATTACTTTCACGATCGAGAAATTGAGTTAGAGCCTGAAGTGCACCATTGGCCCGAGCCACTTCAATATTGTGTCCATCAGCCGATTTCACAGCAATGATAGTATGAAACGTTAAGATTGCGTAACGTAAGGCTGAACCACCGCTGAAAAACAGCAAAAATGTTTCGGACTTTTCTCAACTGCTTGTTCATGCTACGAAGTCAGACAAATGCCCCTGACTTTGTAACATAATTTACGTAGATCATCCATCGAATTTGAAAGTTCTAACAGTACCCGAAGTGATAAGAAAAAATTTTTGCTCTGATCATAAAACTTACGTAAATTTAATGTGTTGAATAATATCGATCAGCAATGACCCTTTTGTCTGGTCATTTATTTTTAAAATACTTTCTAGACCATCACGACGTTCAGAAATATGAAACAATGCACCAAGCGTTGGTTTAATGATAGCCTAGAAGCAAGAAATTTCAAACAGGAATATAAATCATACTTATAAAAAAAACAATATCTCATATTCTTCTTTGATGTTTGATAACAAGAATGCAATTTGATTTATCGCTTATTTCACATGATTCTAGGATGGTTTTATTTTAAAAAATGGTCAACTTTAGAGAAACGTTTTTTAATCTCATTTGTACGATAGTTTTTGAAACTCCACTCTAAATTCGACTACTTTTCGAGACATCTGTGACATAAAACAAACAAATAAACTAAACACAACTATGACATAAAAACAGATCAGTATTTACCGGTTTATTTGATTTCGTCCTCAACAGATCTTTCAGAGCAGTTATAACTTCAACTGCTCGCAAATAAGGTTCCGCATAAAGCGGTTCTTCGGAATCAATTTTGGCGATAGTTTGTATCGTCGTTGCTGCACGTTGTACTACCACCTAAAACGTTCTTTCAAGTGATAACAATTTTGAAATTACTTCAAAGAAATCTGCACTTAAGCTTCTCTTTCTCTCGCAAATCCGAGTAGGAATCCATTAGTACTTTTCTGATGACTTAAAAAAGACAAATGAAGACCAATGATCAAGATGCTCAGAGAAAGTACTTTCCCACAACTTTAATCAATAATTAATTTTCTGTTACTTTGTCAAAAAATAAATGTTGGTAAGAAAAGAAAACCTCATCAGCATCACTAAGTAAATGTATAAGTTCTGGAACTGCATTCCGTGTTTCACCATCTTGTGAGCCACGCCCTAAATCAGACGGTATATTTTCAAATTTTATTTGCTGCTGATCAGTTAATTCAATTCGTGAATGTGCATCATCAGACATAGTGGAGATTTGCGATCCAGCGCGTAGCGAACTGACGGATAATACCGATGGTGCCTTCAAATAAATAGTGATAATAGCTCCAGCACTCAGAATTTTGAATTCTTTTTCATCACTTTTAAACAAAATACAAAGTTTCATAAAATCAAACAGTTTTAAATTTGATTAAAAACAATAATTTTCAAGCCTCAATAATTCTTTTTTTGTTTAACTAAACTACCAGGCAATACAGTCCACCATATATATGACTGACTAAGCCATAGCGATGACTAGGTTAAGTTTTTAAAATTTTGGGATCCTGAGTGTAGCGAATTGACTGATATCATTGCTTATTCAAATTTAGTGCAGGAAATTTATAAAATAAGCTTACCGAACTATGGTTCATAGAATGAACACCACTATCGAAATTGTTAGACCACATTTGTACACGGAACATCGCATTTGTAGCATTAGAAGGACCAGTTGAAGAAATATCAGCGTTTCCAGTTGAAGCAGGTTGTTCCTGCTGCTGCTGGTAATGATGAGGAAGTGGGGTGGAAAGAGGCACCTGAGCAGAACGTGGAGGCATTTGTGACGAAGCAGGAATTGGTTGGGCCTGAGTTGGAGGAAGACGTGTTGAATTACCAGTTGTGTTGAAAAGAGGCTGTTGTTGAGGAACAGAAGGCCTACCGGGACCTGATTTCGGGGAAACCATCGTACCTATACTGAAATGACGATTCTCAGTAACTGCTTGCATCGCATTCGGCATTTGTTCTGCCGGTGAGCAATGAGGTACATAATCCTGCAAAAGATTTTTAAATTTATTTCGTGGAATATATTAAATAAAATCGTCCCATGTATATTAGTAGTATTTATTTATATTTAAACAAATTGCTTATAAAATAACTAACGTGAGGTGAACTATTCATTGCACCGACCTCACTACTCGACCTCCAAACCTGAAGAACTGCACTTTAGAATAGTTATATTTAAATATAAACATATTAAACTTTGAAGATGTACCGCTTAAGTGACAAACTGTTATCATATATTCTATTCCATCATATCGCAGGAAGAGCGCTTGTTCTTTATTAGTTCGAATTTCGAGCAAATTCAAATTCAAAAACCTGATTGAAATTTAAAATAGAAGCAACAACACCGTAGAAGGATCGCCACCTACGGTGTGGTCTACTTGATATGCTGTTCATTTGTCCTTGACATTATATCTGCACAATAAAGTGATCTGTTTCATATCATCATTATCACCATCTCCCACCATTTTTGTTCCTATCCATCAACGCTTCTTTCTTCATTTGATTTTATAGGCCATAATCCGGAACCAAAACTCCATCTCTATTTCTCCTCCCTCTTTATTATCCTGCCTCATAATATTTATAGTTTTATCAAAACCTTTGCAATAGAAGCTTCCCGCAACTTTCCCCACATTTTAAGTTGGAAGAAAAACCATGATGTGCTTATAGCAATTCTAACAAATCATGAGATACTAGCAGTGCAACTAGAAATCTTAAGCAAGAAGAGTTTCTAGCTCTCTTGACTAATATATATAGCATCAATGGGAATTATAAATCAGTCAAATTAATCCTCGAGTAAATTTATACTAATATTACTAAAGATAAATAATTACTGTTTATAACTTAAAAAAAAAAAAATAGGAAACTTAAAAAATAGAACTGATATGGCTTAAGAAATCTTCAACGTTAAAAAAAAAAATCTTAAGAATAAGTAAAACGACCATATAATACTTCAAGAGGAAAAGAAAAAGCAAAAACATGACAAATTTCTTAAAAGCATCGTAAGAATAGGCTAGGGAACTTTTTAGAACGAACAGAGAAAGGGGATGACACATAATAAGAATCAGTAGTCGCTGTAGCCTCACATATCATCCAAAACTGAACCACTCAAACCAACTGAACCAATCCCTGGAGCACCAACATCACTATCACTATTGCTGTCACTACCAAGGTTAAAAATTGAACTCTTTCTATTTCTACCACCATACCCATCCTGCCAAACCCGATCTAAAATGATTAATGATTCTGAAATTCCTTGACGAACAGACTGTCTCACTTTTGCTTACTAGAGCTTTTAAAACAACTTTTTTTCTATCCTTATTTCGAGTCAAAATTTTATTAAAAAACTTAGAAGCACATTTGTCTATATGCCAATGACATATTAACTAATTAATTTAAATGGTGTTTAGCATGTCAGAAAAAACTAAGTGACTGTTTCTATTGAATTCATGAAAATGGCAATTTCGATGTAATTATAAAAACAAAAAATTGCTGAAACTCCGGATAACAATCTTTACACTCCCATATAAACAGAACACTTGCATTCCATCTCACACAGAAACAAAAACAAATATTCGTTTCAGAATACTACAGAAAATTTTAATTGGCAAAAAAAAGAGCTATGTTTCATGAAACATTTAAATGTTAAAAGCATCCTACTACATTTGTCAGTTATGCACACAGAAGGGATTAGGTACTGAGAACCTTGTCCGAATACATCCTTATTATAAATCTACTTTGAAATAAAGTTAGATAAGTCTGCACAAAATGACTGTCTGGCAACATCTAGAAAAAGAAGTCAACAAGAAAACTTATTTTAAATTTATCATAATCTTGGAAACAAATTTAACAAATGTACAATTATTTAAATTTGATTATAAATATTAACTATTCTTATTAATTCCAAAGCATCAAAATGACATAGATCTGAAGTAGTGAACCAACTACAGCGACTCCACTTCCTCTCTTTGTTTTAACATTTTAAATTTATCTTTTGAAAAATGTTTCCCTACAGGTAGTGAAAAAGAAAAAGAAAAAAAAAAAAAAAACGACAACGAAGAATGACAGTGTCAGTGAATTATTGTACATATGTGGCAGAAAGGAAGAAAAGAAGAATGATGAGGAAGAAACTAAGGTAGAAGGGAGAGGGAATAGAATTATTTTACAAAGAGCAATAGATTAACACTTTAAAGAAAAGCAATTAAATAAAGGAGAAAAAGGTATGTTTTGGATGGAAGACTGCATGTCTCTCTCTTCTATCCTAACTCTTTCTCTGTTTCCTGAACATCAACGTGTTAATGTGAACATATAAATATTTTTACACAACGGCAAAAAAAAAAAAACACAATACTGCACTGCAATACTGCATAATGCACCATTCCGATATCATTTTTAAAATAATCAACTACTTCACTTACTAACTCATTTATTATTATCATCCGACTGATAGGTTCATTTATTTACTACTCAAGTAATTAATTAATTGAGTAATAACCTAACTCATTACACACATTTTTTACTGAGCAGCTAAGTTATTTACTTACGAGAAACTAAACCATTAGTTGATATTCTAAAACAACACAGTAATAACCCATCAATGCTTCTCTTACTGATAAAGACCACCAAATCATCCATAAAACTGATAACAGAGCTACGATTTTTATATTTGATTGCCAAATAAATGAAAAGTTCAATATAAATCAGAATTGAAGGGAGAACTATCTATCAAACTGAAGATAATTTTCAGTTACTGGAAGACTACATAACCGAGAAAAAAAAATCTGAAAGGAAAATAGGAATGGAAAGTAGAAGCGTGTGAGCTAAATTTTAAGGAACTAAAAAATTTTGAACAGCAGCTATCAGTAATTTTACAGATTTTCCAAATAGTAGGAGAAGTACTAGTGTAGAAATGTATCCTAAATTCCCACGTTTTTTGCCTTTCTTTTCTTTTCTCTCTACCATCCTTTAATTTGCATAAAGTTGATAAAAGAAGACTTTTATAATAATTGTTTAATGCTAACCGCAATCAAAAAATAAAAAATAGTTCAAAAAACCAACATACATTGAAGCAGTTAAAAAAAAAGAAAAACAGCCGACTTATGAGGAAGCATAAAATGCGTCGCACTTCCCCTATTTTTGCTCTCACATGAAAATGGAAAAGCTAGCATGCATAATTCTTTCTATACATACGCAAATCTTTTTCTTATTCCTCTACTCTGAATGTTTCAAAAAATATACAATTTTGAAGCTAGAAAAAAAGACTTGATATTATTAAAAGCGAAAAATTTCGAAAATATAAGTGCGAAAATGACTTCAGTGGGGAAAATTTCTTCAAATTTCAATATATCTTTCAAAGCTTCCCAGTCACTTTTATTAATTAAGCCTATTAAGATAATTATTCCTGTCCACCATCAGCATCATTAGTAAAACATTAAATGCAAAACTCAACAATTGATTAGACCGTGCATTTTAGTTTTCAGATTTTCCAGTTGTCATTATAATGACAAATGAAATACTGACATTCACTACTTCTCAAAAGTGTTCCATAACTTTCTAATAGCAAGCGATGCATATATGTGTGTAAAAGGATTTGAATTAAAAATTTTAAAATACTTCACACTTCTCATATTCAACTAACATTTTTCGTTGCAATTAAAATCAAAGATTAAATAATAGGCTGACAAAGTGCTTTCAATTTTGGACATTTAAAAAACAAATTTTAAACTTTCATTTGCAGAAATAAGTCCGAAGACAGTTCAAACTATCTGATAAACAGTTCCAGAAATGCAAATAAACAGGTTGAAAGATAACGTTCAAAAAAAAAAACTCACCAAAGACAATTACTGTTCATGTAAACTCTATGAAAATTAATACCGTAATTAATTACCGAGAGAAAGCTAAAGTCAGCAATGGTGTTTTCTGTTAAGCATAATGAATTATTTTCCTGATTTATTCCCTTACTTGTTACAATATTTATTGAATACTGATTTAATATCCATTAATTGGCAATGTTACTTTATTTCTTTCAGCGAATATTCTTTATGGAAGAATGAAAATATATCAAATACAAATAGAAAACAGTAAGCAGTGATAACTGCAAACATTAATAAAGACAAGGAGTACGTTTTCTTTTCTTCTTTTTTTTTTTTCTCAATGAAAATAAGAAATATCGAAAATAACAATCGAAATTGTTACCATAAATCAGTAAGTACAAATTAATTTAAAAGCTTGCTTCTGAGAAAGAAAAAAGATGTTCAATCTAAGGTCACGAAATTTTCTCATAAAACCGACAAGTGCGATGAATGAAACAACTGTTAGTATATGATGAAATAATTGTATCACTACGACTATCTAGTTCAGCTATTTATGAAAGCTGTCGGCATTCACATAATCAATCATATGATCAATCAAACGAATTAGTATCCTGTACTTCTTGCTACTTTTAGAAAAAATCATATCACTTTATCACGGGAAATAAAAAAAAAGGAAAAGAATCAGCTAGACAGGCATGAAAAATAGACATTTCTAATTCGTTCGGCATTTACCGCTGATATAATACAACAAGGAAACCATAAGTCCTTTGTTAGCATTCCATTTATTCGCACCATACCCGATGGTTTTGTATGCAGAACACTTTCTCTTCCAAAAACGATATATAGATTTGTGCATTCTCTCCACCAACGTTCACGTAAATTTCTATCTCAGTTCGCTTTACAGAAAATTATTTTTTAACAGCACACTGAAGGTTTCATTCTATCTAAGCAACTTCGAAGTGTCTTCAGCTCATCCCAGCTTTGTCGTATGAATTTAGACATGTCCACACACATATCAGTGACACAAAATTCTTATTGACTACATATAATTCTAAGGTTATCACATACTTTAATGACACAAAATGAAACAAAGATACCCAAGATAATGATATCCCAGATTAAAAAATAAACAGAATTTGATCAAGCTTTATGGGAACCACTGCAAGTGAACAAATCTCTCCTCACTACTCGTTCTATATATACGACTTTACTTTACAATGTACTGCAACCTAATAACTAAAATTAATATATCATCACGTTTTGAAATCCAACCTTGGTAGCATCAAGTTGCCATCGACTAGAATA